GCCCCCCCCCCCGCCGTTATGTAAGCGGCCCGAGCCGGCCCGAGGCCCCGCCCCCTTCCGCGTGGGCGTGGCCGCGGCGCGCCCGGCTGACCGGCTTTGAGCTCGAGGCCGGAAGTGCCCCCCCCCCGGGGAGCGCCCCCCACCCCACCCCTCCGTGCCCGCGCCTGCGCGGGGCCGCTGCGGGCGGGAGCCTCGTTCTCGCTGAGGGCGTCCCGGCCTGAGGGGGACGGAAATGGAAATGGAGAATTCTCTCTTCCAGCCTCCGTGTAGGCAGGCTTCCCCCCGCCCCGGCGTGTTCAGAACGCAGCTCAGCTCCTCGTAACTTTCGGCAGGGCAGAGCCGGACCCTGATGTCCGCAGTGCAGTCCTCCAGTTCTCACAGATCTGTTTGTGAAAATCCTCCTGAATTAGCTCGAGAGAAACCCGGGCTTTTAACTAACAAACATTTTAACTAATAACTGATAGTTCACGGTAGATTGGCCCCATGCCACCTGTGACTTTTGCTCTCAGAAGGAGCCGGAAGTGCGGATCCTGGAGAGCTGGATGCAAAACATAAAACCTCCTCAGGCCAGTTCTTTTATGCTGTTACCCATTGCCTTTTAAAAAAGTTTATAAACATATATGTAAACAGACATATTTATAAACATAGATCTGTAAAGTTACCAGTGTTATCTTTTTGAATTCCACGCCAAGGCCAGTAACCTGAGTCAAAGGTCATCTGAGGTGCAGCAGTGCTGAAAAGCTGCTCAAAAGGCACAGAATAAAAACATTCAATACCCTAAGTGGACACTGCTGTTCACCCACCCGGCTTTGCCAGGTGATTGTTCAGCGACCTGAGGCTTTACACACACAAGAGTTGAAGTTTGAAGCACAAACACCCGCAGCCACCTGCTCCAGGCAGAGAGGGTAAAAATGAAAATAGTATAAGGAAGGAGAAGTGCCGTAACAACACTTCCCGTTTATATCCTCCCACCTTCTTGCAATCTGTGCTTTAAGGCTTTTCTGGGACAAAAATAACTGCATTTGATGGCCATTTCTTCACATTTTGGTTCTGTTTATGCCCTTAGCTTGTAAGATACCATGACAATGTGTTTTACAATTTCAGTGTATGCAACCTGAAAAACACTTGTTTTCATTTTCAACATATTGCTGGATAAGAACAAGGGGCCAAGCAATGAGTTAGTAGAAATGGTAGTAACTTTCTGTTTATTTATACTCTTCGTGGACATTAATATCTCCTAAGTCACCTCCTTTATAAATCAAAGATGCAGTGTAATTTTTCCTCCTTTTAAAGCGATTCTACACTTCTAATTGTTTTTGCCATTTTTTTTCTTTATTGACAAGAAATTCACAGCATTTAAGATCTGGACCCCATAGAGATCTACATAATGAAAGTATAAAGATGTTTTTGATCTGTTGTGTATTATTTTCTAGTTATGTTTTTAAATTGTTGCTAAGAATAAAGCAAGGTTTGCAAAGACTAGAGGTCTGCATGATACTGTGCTCAAAAGTAACACCTAAATCATGCTTATTTTGTTTATGAACATTCACAGCTGTTTGACCCTCAGCAATCTGGAATTCCACCGTGCTCAACCATTTTTTGTTGTAATTAATTTTTTTCTTTCAATAGCACTCCAACTTGACTGGTTTTGCTAATACTATCCCAGCAAGTTTCTCATAGAGGAATCTCTCCAGGTTTTTTTCAATATAGAGTTACTTAATATGGATTGTGAAAGATCTTTGTCCCCAAACATTCCTACTAACACTTTCCACCTTCTGACCCTACAGGCTTCCTGTTCCTGATGAGTCTGAAAAAGATTTTTGCAAAAGCTGTAAAAATAACAAATTATTTTTTCTTGTTCTATTGCATTTATCTTAACACACCATAATTTGATTTTGTTTATGTATAATTTCATGGCTCCTGTTACTGTGCTGTTTAATTTTTCTAAGGTTTTAAAGAACTGAAAAGACTGAACAAAAACCCAGTCTCTGCCTTGTCTACATGCAGTTAAGTCTGCAAGGAACTCCTTTCAATTTCCTTTGTAAAAAAACTTCCTCATTTTTCTGTTCCAGCCTCCTAAATTAAACACGGATTTTCCCATTCTCTTAATTAAGAGCCAATACGTGGAAACAAATAAGCACAGCTTTGCAGAGCTGCGTATGTAGCAAACTGAATTCTGTATTTAGTTTTGTTTTGATAGCACAGATCTGTGTTTGCTTACACACAACAAAAGCTCTTTTGTGTTCCTAAGGTGGTCCATGCACTTGGATTTAGATCTACAAATAACACCCATGGACTGCTAGAGTTCATACTACTGAGGTTTAATTGCTGCCTGTCCTTGTTCTTACAGTCAAAATTGGGACCTCAGCTGCTTTTGTCGTGCTCGAGGAGTTTAACAATAAAGGGCACCATTTTTTCTTTCAACATGGAAAACCCAGAATTCCTGACGAGCATGGAATACTGTTGCTCAGAAAGGAAAATAATGACTTTCACCATACAACCTGTCCAAAAACCTGTATGCTAGCAGCTAATATAGTAAGTTGCATTTCTAAATCTTATTTTTAATAAAGGTTTCAGCTCTACTTTAATGCAGAAATAACTTCGGGTTACCCTGTCAAACCTGTATCGTAGCAATTAACACCAACACCCGGTAACGGGCATACCGGCCGGGAAACGTCCCGGCCCAACCCGCAAGGTCAAGTGCTAGAAATTTCCCCCGCTCCACCCCCGGCCCAGGCCAGCCCTTTCCCCACCTATTTTATCGAGAAAACGCCAACAACCGCCTCTCCGTTCAGGTGACGAAGGCGGAACCTCACGGAGAAACTCCCCCCCCCTTCCCCGCCGCCATTTTGCGCCGCCAGCCGCGCTCAGCGGCCGGAACGCCTCAGGGCTGGCCCGTGCTGCCCGGGGTCCTCGGTCCGCGGGCCCGGGGGGGGAGGGCGGCACAGGCCGGGCGGAACCGGGGGTGCCCGTCACGTGGCCGGGGAGCGGCGGGGAATGGCACGTGACCGTTGCTGCGGCTGAGCTTTGGGGCATGGACTCTTTCTTTGCTCCCTATTCCCACTCCCAGTCCAAAGCCAGGCCTGTTCCCAATCCCGTTACAGAGGCGATCGGCCCCGCCCCGCTCCCGTAACACCGGCCATGACCGAAAGCACCGGCCCGCCTGGCTCGCGTGGCCCCACCCCTTCCTGCGGCGCGTGCCCAATGGGCGCACAGGCCGCGGTTTAAATGGTGGGAGCGGGCCCGAGCCGTTGGTGCCGCCATGGGCAGCGCTGAGGGGACAGGTAGGGCCGGCGCCCGGAGGGTTCCGACCGCAGATCGCTGGGGCCTGGCCCTGCGGGCCTTGCGGTGGGGTGGGAATCCTGCTCCTGGAGCAGTGGCCGCCTTGGTGTCCGCAGAGCCGGGAGAGGCGAGCCTGAGAGCTTCCTCCTCCCCCATCACCTCCCCGATGCTCGCAGCACCAGCACCATTTTATTCAGCTCTTTAAAACTGTTGTTTTCTTGCGTTATAGCTTTTAAAGCTCTGTGCGTTAACCTCTCCTTTCCCCTCTTTTGTCTTTGTGCCTTTCCTGGCGACACTTTTAACTTAATAAAGTTACAGATGAACAGAAATTCAAGTTTTCCAAGACATCAGCCTAAAATGTTGGAGATGCTACTTTAACCTTTATGCATCTTTCCACTATACATATATACATATATGTATATATCCATATACATATATACATCTACGCTACTTTCATGCATCTGAAACTTAATAGAAAGTGATGTGTAGAACTGATGGAGGAGTAGAGGAAGGGAAAAGTAACACTCCTGTGTACAGAAGACTGAAAACTGTGCAAATTAATTCTTGTTGTAGTAATTCTATACTCTTTTCCTTCCAAAGGTGACTTATGCCTTTTCCAGTAAATTAAAGTTCTTAATATCTCTAAAAATATATGTTCTTCAAAGCACTTTGAACTCAGGACTCAAAATTTGAGGGAAATAAGACGTTAATGCACATCTCATTGTACTCAACAGAGCATTTGGCAGGGCCACCTCTGTATTCTTCTAATCCTTAAATAATTAAAATAGAATTTACCTTTCATGAGGAGTATTTACATTAACAATGATGTCATTGCCTAGGAGTATTAGAGAACCTGGGTTTGTAAGAGAAGCTCATGTTTTTCCAAAAAGGTACCTGTCATTTCTGATCTTTGACAAATGGTATATCAAAGCTTGGGTTTTTTAGGTCTCGAACGTTTGCTGTTCTTGGCTATAAGACCAGATTCAAATTTGTTTTTCATTACATGGAAAAAAAAAAATTCTGCTCAGCCTGTGGTACTTCAGTGCCTTTCACCTCCCAAGTCCAGTTGGGCTACCAGTACACTTAAACAGTGTTTAATGTTTTGGATGGATGGGTCAGCCTCCTGAGTTTTACCACCTCTGGTGGATTCAAAGACACAGTGGTCACCTTTCACTGTAAGTAACTACATCTTTATTTCTGTGTTTTTCGGTTCTGACATTGTTTTTTCTTCTAAACAGATTGGGTTGATCTTGCCAATGATCTTTTAAGGACCTGTCACATAAACCAGCACATACAGCATCTCTCAGAATGCGGTGCTGATGTGTTTGTTCATCTTTATGAGTCAATCTTAGGAGAAAAAGTACCAGGTAGGAGCTAAATCTGTTTTTTATTTTTCTCTCTGTGTGTTTTGTAGCTAAATAAAATTGAAACTTGTGAAACTTCTTACAGATGTAGGGATTTAAAGTATTTGTGTCTTTCCAAAGACAAAAATATAAGATTATCATTCTTTAAGAAGATTCAAGTAATATTGGTGAATTTTATTTTAACTTTGGACTGCTATGAATGGCAGCTATGACGATAGCTTTCAAGGCCTAATTTACCTATCTATGGGTATAATTCTTCTGAAGGTTATGAACTGGCTCATTTTATCTTACAGTAGTGTTAACACTGAAGAATGCAATCATAAAATGCTTAATACTTACAGCCTGCTAAGAGCTGAGCTATGATTTAACCCTGCTTTATCCCAACTCCACTGGACTTCAGTGACAGCAATTAACTAAAGGTTACACAATTATGTATTTGCTTTGTTTAGAAACTGTTATGTGTGGGAAGTGTCAGACTAGTAGTTGCAGAAGAATTTAAGAGCACTGAGGTAACTGGCACCTATTGAAGGTAGAAGTCCTGTTAAATATAAGTGCAGAACTAAAAATAATGCTGTTCGCAATTAAGTAGAATACATTGCAGTGCAATCAGTGTGTGACAGGGAAAGAAGAAGCCCTAACACAAACTGCAGTTCCAGTTTGATGGTCTAGGTGTGTGTGCTGGGAATGAAGGGGGAGAAATGCTTTGGTAGTCTCTTTTCTTGAATTAAATCTTGATAAAACCCTCACATCTTCCAAGGGGTGCTTCAAGTTTGTGCTCAGTATTTATAAAAGATTTTGTTGGACCATATAATAGTTGGGCTTTTCACCAAGGTACTGAAAAAATATTTGCTTGTAAGCAGAAGTTAAAGTAGTTTCATTAAGGTACTTGCAACAAGCTAGAAATTTAAATAGTCTAAAATCTATTATTTGTTTTAAATAGATTTCATTGCTACTCCCAGAAGCCAAGAGGATGATGCACATAATGTACAAGCAGTTATAGATTCCCTGGCATTGGATTATTTGCAGGTCAGCTTGTCTCACATCACTGGTAAGTGCTTGGTTTAATGAGACAAACACAGCTGGTGTTTGCAATCCTGCTGCCACTCCATAGACTGCTTCATGCTATAGTTTTATGTATAAGAAAAATATAAAATACCAATTGTCCCTGAAAATATCCCAGAATATTTATTTTGTGAGTGTGGAAGCAGTTACTGCATCATTAAACTTTCACTTATTAGAATTGAAAAGATGCAAATTTAGAACACTTAAAATACACTTTAAGCCATAAATAAGTGACATAGCCATAAATAAGTGACCAGGTGTCTTCTGAGCTGACACCTTTAAAAGAATTTCGAAGCACTCTTCTACAGAAAATGCCTGCTTTTGCGAATTTTTCTTCTGTGATGTGCTAATTATTAATATGTGTCATTACTTTCTCTTGAGGCGAGAACATTGTGAAAGGAGACAGGGAGTCTATCAAAAACCTCCTTGAAATATTTGATGGTTTGTTAGAGTATCTTAGAGAAGTCAGCGAAGCATCTTCTCAGACTGGAGGTGAGATGTAAACCCAAAGTGTTTCCAATGTAGCAAAGATTTATTTGGGGTTTTGTTACTCATAACCTTGACAATGGGGAGAAGAGAAAGACAAAACTGACCCTGGGGAAAGAAATTTTAGTGGTGAAGCTGAATATTTGCATTCCTTGTTTTCATAAACAATAATAAAATAGATAATTTCCCCCCAAACTTACATAATCTTTCTGCTTCATTCTTGTGGCAGAAACCTACTCTAGACAATTCATCATTTGTTTGTTGCTTTTCAACCCGTAAGTCAAATGATTCAGGATTAGGATTCAAGGAGGGAAATGTTGGTTTAATTGTAACAATAAGCAAATGTCCCTTTTACCCACTAGGAAATAAAGGTGGTGACAGCCTTTCCTGGGAAGCTGGTCATGGGAGTAGATCCATAGCAGGGGTTATTTTGAGGAAAATGGGAAGAGAAGCTGCTCAGCCCTGCAGAGGCATCTTATTGCAGGCAGTAGTGGTCTTCCTATCGCAGAGCTGGTAAGAGCTGTCACCACTGGCTGTTGCACTCTGTGAGTAAGGGGATAGCACTTGGTGCCAGAGTTCCTTTCTGCCCTGTTTCAGAGTTGACAGAAGAAAGAGGACAGTAGGAATGTTCAGTGCTTGTACTGCTTTTCCCTTCCTTGAGACAGCCACTTTTGTTACCCAGTGGGGGTTAGTGGCTCAAATTTTCCCAGCTGTAAGTCCACAGTTTAATTCTTTTGAGGAAGAAGAAAGGTTTATTAATAACCAGAACAAGGGTATGGTAGTGGTATAATTTTTCAAAATTTACCATAAAAGTTGCCCCACCTCCCCTACTTTCCTGCCCCTGCCCTCATGGGGGAACATTACATGTCATCATTTTAGATAAAACATTACAATGTTGATAGTACACATAAACTGTTTTGATGATACTGGAAATAGTTTATAGGTAGAAGTAGTTTACCTGAAAATAATTATTTCTTGGTTATTAACAGCTGAGATAAATGTGTTGTCCAGTGATGAAATTCAAATTGCATCTCAAGAGCAGCTGGAAAGCACTGCTGATCAACTTGCACAACATACACTACTATCATCAGTTGAAAAGTAAGAAATATTCTGAATATTTGTTTTCACATAGTGATTGACTGTCTCTGTGTATCTGTAGAGAAATTAGTAGGTTTTTTTATAGTATAGACACCTTCTAATCGTATATGCCAAAAGGAATGTGAGGTGACTTCTCTGGTTGGGCTAAAATTACATCTGGGACTTCTTTTACCCTTGAAGAGTTGCTGATTTTGTTTCCCTTAAGTTTACTTTTTATGTGGAGTGGAACAACTTGAAAACTTTGATTAGTTTTAAAGACTGTATTTTAAAGATTGATTCATTAAGCTGAGTTCAGTTTGTGATTGTGACTCCTGCTCTGGTTTGCTCTGTGGCAGCAGGGCCATGTCCTGCATGGCTCCTCGGCAGCTCCATCTCGTGGGCTGAAGGAGCAGAGGCTAAGAGAGGAAATACTTGATGGCTTTATGTTCCCCTTAGGTCCCAGTCAGAATATTTTATTCTAACTTGTGATACAGATGGCTCAGAATCTACCAGTGAATTAATTAAACTTGGAGATACTGCTTATTCATTTTCCAAGAGAGGGGAAGGTGAGTTTGGGTGAGAAAAAATTTTAAGACTCTTCTGTAGCAAGACTTCTAGGCTTTTTTTTTGTTTCCTTTAAAAAAGTTACTTCTTTCAGATAAATATAGCTTTAAATCTGTATTTAAAAACTCCAAGCCAAGCCACAATAGGCAAATGCATCTTGCTGAAGTTAAAATTTCTGGAAGTGAATATTCCAGGCGTTATTTTTCATGACTCCTGCACTACCTTATTTGAATAAAGGTTTGTTGTTTGAGTTCTAATTCAGTTCTGCAGGTGCCAGTGCTAAAAAACTGAGAGAGCCTATCCAGCAGGCATTTCATCTTGTTCAATAGAACAGGAGAATTCCGAACACATTGTTTCATTGGTTGCAGTATAAGATGTATTATTTAAGACTGTAAAAAGATTAATAAGCTCATTCTTAAAGACTTGTTGAGAGTGTGTGCCTCTTCAAAACTTCATGGATGACTCCAAAACAAATAATGTGCAGATGACTTAAATGGAGATAATTCTTATTTCTTATTTTTCTACAAGAATTTTTTTCTTATAGAAAATCTTTTCTGTAAAAGAATATTCCAATTCTTCCTATTCTTATTGATGATTAATCTCAAGTAAAGGCATAAAGAAATATTATGTATTACGAACATTTAATGGAATTCTAAATAAGAACTTAACAGACCTATTTTGAGCTTAGTATGGATTGTGACACCAAACAATTAGCAGACATTAAAACTGTCTGTCTCAACAGTTCATAGCAAGATGCTTTATAGATCTTAATTTAATCTTTTTGAACATCCACTTCTAGAATTTTAAATGCCTATACTGTGTCTAGGAGAAAAGGACATGGGGGTAGAAGAATCTGAAAGCCCAGAGGCTCTTGCAGCACTGCCCAGACAGTTCTCAGAAAGTGAAAGGGGGATTGTAAAGGAAAGGGAAGATGGTGAGTATTGATTTTTCTGACAGCTCATCCACCTGGTTTTGATTTAGGGGTGTAGGGAGCTAGGGTGGTGGGGAGGAGAGCTTTAGTCATGAATAGAAACACTTTAGTCATATTTTAAAATAAACTGTTTTCAGAAATGTGACATTTTAGTCTCTCAGAGTAGGCAAACTTTCATTATCTAGGGTGTTTTTGCTTAGCTAGGATTTGGCTTCAGCTAGGCTGTTTTTAATTTGTATTGTGGTTTGTATTCTTTTCTTTTGTGGTTCAAAACACTAACAAGTTGTTGTGGAGGATCCTCACATCCAAAATCATGTTCTCAAGGCTGAAAAATGTTACAGCACTGTCCTATGCAATCCAACAAAGGTGGCAGTTCACATTAGCTATCAAGACACTTCCCTTTATTATGTATACACAATGCACAAAATATGTTCTGCTTTCTCAGATAACACTTGAAGTTCTTTACATTTGCCTCCTCAGGAGGGGTGGAGTCTGTGCAAGCTGCTGAACCTCACAAAGGGAGTCTGAGTGCCAGTGCTACAAAACTGGGGGACCCTATCCAGCAGGCAATTCCTCTGCTGCCCCCGTTCCAGCCCTCAGATCCAGGATGGAGAGATTACCACTGCTCAGACAGACAGGCAGCAGCTCTGGCTTGCAGTCAAGCAGTGAACATTCCTACTGTAAGGAAAAACCTACCCTTTCATTATTTTATTTTCTTTTAGTAACCAATCCTGCTTTCATTTGAAAATCTCCTAGTTTACTTGCAGAACGGGAGTACCTGGTCCCTGAAGAACACTTTTGAAAGTGTCAGAGTTTATCTTGGTTCCAGGAATTTTGGATTGTGGATTCATTCTTCACTAAGTGTCCAGAGAGGAATTTAGTTTGAGGGGTGTGTTTATTTTATACATATATACATACATGTCCCCACAATCAATGCGACTGCACAGTTTATATTATAGTAAATAAGATAATTAGAGTGATTTTTATCTAGCTATAAAATCAGCATTGATTTCCATTTGCAGACAGATTTATTGTATGACCTTCCTGTCAGCACTGTCCTGTGAATTTATAGAACACAACTTGCTTTTTATTTCAGATTGAAAAGTCACTTACCCAAAAATTTGATGATATTTCTGATGGTCTTCCTCTTTCAAGAAAGATCCCTGGTGAGAGAAAATTTTGCATCCCATAGGGTAACTCTTAAGTGTTATAATGTTGCATTTATTTTTGCTGCAACTACAAGAAACATTGGAATCACTAGTGCATTTTTTTAAATTCAGCCACAAGTTCATATTTCTATCTCTGCTTTACAGAGAAACAAAAATAGGTTACTTTTAATCTGTTCCCTGTACTGGAAAAAAGTAATCCATGTCCCCAATTCAACTCTTTTCTTAGTTAATCCCGTTAAGATGGGCCTATACCACAGAAATCTCTTCCAGCAGATAAGTCCCATGGCTGAGCTTATTCTGAGCAGAGAAACATGGACCAAACAAGCCAGTTTCAATTCTAAGAAAAATCCATTAACTGCTATTGTAGAAAAGGTTTAGAAGCTATTTTTTTCAGTACTCATTTTCTCTGTTGCCTTGGAAACACTGCTTACCTTTTTTAGTTTCCATAGCATTCCCATGACACTGAACATTGAAGACTGGAGAAATTACTAAAATGAATGTCACAACTGGGTAACCACAGTTGCTTTGTCATTCTATTCTCTGAATAATCTGGATCCACAGGCCCTGGCTCACATCTTTTTTTCTTTGTTGCCTACATTAGTAGCCACAGTGCCATTAACTCACACTTACCTGTCATCTGCTTCTGCACTGGGAGAAATGCTGGGAGATGATGCTAAGGACAATTTGACAAAGGTATACATTGCATCTTTATTTTTGGAATTTCAGTCAATATTTTTTGATTTTTGCTTAATTTGTCTGTTATCTTGTGACAATTCTGGGCTTATTTCAAACCTGTTTTGTACTTTCTTTCCCCAATATACAATCAGTGATGCAGTATTGTTAGACTGGGATTATGTGCAGTCTGTGAGTCATGTCAGTTCTTCCTGGAGTTGTTTCCTCTGAAATGTACAGAGCCAGCAACCACAGAGTTCTATTTATTACAACCAACCAGTTACTGGTTATCTTGCTTTTTAATCAAAAATGTACAAAGCACAAGAGTACAGTAATATCCTTTCTCTGAAGACTATCAGCATTCTAAATTAGTAAGAATTTTGGGGTTTTTGGCCAATAAAGCTTAGATTTACTTCTTTTTAAAGATCCATGAACTGCTTATTATATTCTCTCCTTTTATTTTCTTGCATTGTCCTTTGCTTTTCAAAAACTGAATAATGCAAAACCCACAAACTGATCAGCAGTTACCAATCTGTGCTCACAGAAATGTGTCTGTAAAGGAAGTTTTTTTCTCTGGAAACAAAATTTTGCCTTCTGCAACCACAAGAGGTACTCACAGACTTTGCATGTTCCAATAGTTTAAACAGCTTTTACTTCTACATTGTCTCTGAAACTCATTTTTCCATTGGTGCCTTTCCCAGTGTGTCCATGCCAAGCCCAAGTTACTCCAGTTGAACAGAGAAGTTACCAGGCAGAACTAAACCAGTGCAGCTAAATGGCACAAGGACAGGAGTGTTCTCTTTTGGCTTGCTGTGAACTGCAGCTCAATCTGTACTAAGGGAAATTCAGTTTATTTCCACTACCTGGCATCAGCCCCAGGCTGATGAGGTGGAATGTGGAGATAGTCATTACCTTAACCTATACTGTGTTCTGGTTTGGTGGTTTAGCTGTGAATTGATCTTCCATATTTTTGCTGGTCCATTTATTTAAACATTAATTCTCTAAAGCATACTATCTGCAGTCAGGAGCCTAGAAATATAACTATTTTTATAGATCTATACTCACAGGGTTTGGGTGGTTCTATTACAGCATCTCTACTCACATGATCTATAAAACCTTCAATTACTCATTTTCCTAGGTGCCTTTGGTATATGAATCTTCTATATCCACCTCCTCTTTTGAGGAAAATCTCTCAGTATGTGCTGAACAAGTAACACAAACCCCAAGACCTGAATCTCAGCATCAGCCTAGAACAACAAGGCAAGTTCAGATTTTTGGTATTGAACCACACTGGCACTTTGATTTGCATGGCCAGCCAGCCCCCACCTCCCTTTTTAAATAAGGTCTTTCTTTCCTTGGCTGTGTGACAGTGAAAGATTAATTCTAACAGAAAGATTTCCTGTTTCTCCCTGATATATACTCATTTTCTTAAATATGGTTATAGAAGTTTACACATTCTGCTTTACTTAATCCTATAAAAATGTGCTTAGGCAAAAAGTAAACTGGAATTGTGAGATAATGCTCATCAAGGTTTTAGAACAGAAATTAAATCTGTTTTCTGCTTTAGCAAATATGAAAATTCCACCACAGATTCAGTTGAAGATTCACTTTCCCACAGAACAACAAAGGAGAAGGCGTCTGAGCAAGAGTTTCGTGAAGCATCAGAAAATCTGTCTCGCAGGCTAAATGAACTAGATTTAGTAAGTGCAATCTCTTCTTTGTTGAGCTGAGCAATGCAGCTCTAGTAATGACAGCAGAGAGAACAAGAATATTGGTGCAGTATGATGAAAAGGAAATCTGCAATTAACACCTGGCTTTAGTTCATTCAAACTTTAGAACTGTCTATTGAACCTGACCCCCACAAAAAATATCTATCCGTTAGATGTTGAAGAGAGCTTTGGGTGAGCACACAAGAGAAGAGGAGCTGACAGATGAGGACAGCCTGTCCCAGCACAGTGACAGTGTCATGGACTATGGCCGAAGGACAGCTGAGAGAGGTAACAATCCTTGTGCCACTATAAGGATGGAAACAAATAAAAAAGAAACCTTTTCATGTAAGGCTGCTACACTGAATTACAGTTAGTTACTAAGTTTTGTATAGCTAGTTCACTTCTATTTTCTCTTTGATCCAAATCTGAGCTACAGATGTAACAGAATTGTAACCAAGTTTCTGTTTAACACTTAAAAAACAGTGGTAAAACTTGGGAAAAAAACAGAAGGGGAACACAGCTGCAGTAAAAAATGTATAGGAGGTTTTTGCACTGTATTAGGAACTGTGATGGTGACGACAGACTCTCAGCTTAGTTGCAAATGAGAGCCTGTTTTATTCTTCCAGATCTTTTTATAGACAGTTCCAAGGTCCAAAAAGGTAAAACTTTCATTGGTCATCAAACCAACACGTCACCATCATTGGACAGTTAGGAACAACACCCCTCGACCCCTTGTTTTTGCAAGAAAACAAGAAGACAAACAACACCTGCAAAGGTTGTTTTCCTTTAAGAACTGTTTGGATTCCTCCTTATGATCTCCCAGGCCAGAGTGAGAAAGTTGTGTACTTGACTTTCCCACAGACTCAAGCTAGTGTTTGAAGCCTAAAAATCTTCTTTCACCACTGTCACTTCCCACAGAAGGTGTGGGGAGGGACAGAATACAAGCTCACAGGACTGTGGTTCTGAAATGAAGGCCTAGTCACAATACACTTCACTACTGGGGTTTTTTTCTTTTCTCAAGTTAGATACTCAATGAATGATCTTTCCCTGCAGACACATCACGTCCAAGGTACCCAGGCAGGCCACGATCCCTCTCTCCAGCCTCACCCTCATCTCAGCACCTGGAAAGTAAACTGCGTGGTAGTGGAACAGGCCAGATAAAGACAATACGCAGCCACCTGCAGGAAGAAAGGGATGAAAGAACAAGAAGAGCAAAGGTAATTTTTAGATTGGACCTTGTGGTAATTCTTACCAACAGTTATACTAAAACCAGGAAAACAGAACACTTTTACATAATGGGGACATCTGATCTCCTTTAGTAACCATACGCTGTTTTATCTGTAGCCTGCTGAGGAAGAGACTTAAACCCCAAAGTTTGCAAAAAAGAGTTTGAAGTGTAAAAAGCTACTTTGACCCATGCAGCAAGCAAGTTAACAAGGTGGCTGTATGGACTGATTATTTCCTCTAACAAGTCATTTTATGTTTGTTTTCTAGCTGGTCACTAAAGCTTATGAAAATGAGTTAAGAATTTTTGAAGCGAGGGAGAAGCATAGACTTTCCAAGCTCAGAGAAGCTGCCAAGGAAGTGGTGGGTGATGCACTGCTTGTGTTTTATTTGGTTGATTTTTCTCTTTTTAAATTTGTCTAGATGGTCTGTCCAGACACTTTTGGGTATAAAACCTCCTTGACTTCCAGTGTCATAGTTACAACACTGTACAACCAAAGTAGTATCTTACTAATGTTAAGTGCTGCAGAAGAGCTAAGGTTATGCAATAATGAGATTTAACCTTTATTTGAACCCTGATCTGCATTTTGTAAATTCTGGCCTTCTGGAGAATCCAATGCAGTATGTCCAAGTTCTCATTCTAAAGTCTGAAATACATTTAAGTTCTGATGGCCAAACTGTGTTCTATCAGTGTTTCCCTTCTCATACCTGTTCTCCATCTGTTTTACATCTGCTCCTAAGGAACAAAAGTACAAAGAAAATGTCTTTCAAGAACCTCCAAAAGTGTCTCAGCCAGTGAAAGTTTATTCTAGAAAAACCACACCTCAGTATCCCAAATACAGCCTGTGGATTCCAAAACGAGGGATCATGAAGCCAAAGCAAGCAGCTTCAAGTAAGAACTGCAAAACTATACTTCGTGGAAAACTGGCATCTTTTGAAAGCCTGGGTTGAACTCCAAGAATAAAGGCACCAGTCCAACATATACCAGTCAGCTGTAGCATTTTCCCTTCTTCTGACCTCTATATGTCTGGATTTCTGTTAGGGAAGATAATGTTTTAAGTAAATGTAAACCATCAGTGCACAATCAAATTGTAACCCATTTGCTACTTCTTTAAAATCCCTTGGATTATTTCCAGGGCTTGTTTCCATTGCTGCTACTCCTGTGCTTATTCCAGTACAGTCTGAGCTCTCCTTTTGTTATTTTTCTGAATATGTATCAAATTCAAAATTGTGCCTGTGGCTTGAGCTGAGCCACATACAGGTCACAGAGCAGGATCTGTCAGGACCCTGCCACTGTGGGGTTAAGGGTGCCACTGGTTCTGCTGAACAAGTGATGCTCCAAGAAAGCCAAACTGTAAATCCTAGGCTCAGGTTTTGGTAACCTGCACTGTGCATGCCTATGGATAAAATCCCTACATACCTGGATGTTGCTCAGCTATGCTGCCTTAATTTTTTTCCAGTTTTTGAAGGCCATATACCTGGTAAATACCCTTTTGTTTCATCTCCCCATCATCTCTTCCTGCCAGAAAGATCAAAGATGTAATGGGAATGAGCTGGTTGCAAACCAGTTTATTTTGTACCTGTTTACTTGACCTGGATCTGTCATTGCCACTGCTGTGCTGGCTTTATTTTAAGTTGCTGCAACTGGAGAGAGAGAGAGAAAGCAATCACTGATTAGTGATGGTCAGAACCACATGAAGAAAGAAGGGGAGACCTGTCTTAGTTGGATGGGGTGGTGGTAGCAAAATGACACCTGAACTATAAAATTAGTCCTTTAGAGTAAACAAAATATTTGGATTGCTTTCTCTGCTAGCTGTACTGGCAGGGCATGTCCTGCTGGGCTTAGCTTGACATGGTAACAGCAGCATGGTTATTTTATATAGTGTTCAGTGTAAAATATTTTTTGACCTAGGTTGACACTGTCTGAATGAATTTACAACTAAATGTATTCTCTAGGAATTTATTGCTTACCTCTTTCTTTATCTTACAGTGACAATAAGAGACAATAACCTCCTCTTGCAGCTCCTGGAGGAGTTTCCCCACCTACACATTTCCCCCTGTACTCTGAATAAAATGTGGCAGCAGCAGCTTGCACAGACTGTGCACCTGAAGGCACCTTCTGCCAGACCTAGACCAAAACTCCAGAATGAAGTGAGTCATTCTTCCCTGCTGAATGTCAGCAAAGATATCCTGACAGGACACCTGCACACCCACAGCACAGCATGGAAGGATGTTCTGGGAGCTTGGTTAAATAGAGATGTACAGATTTAAATACATAGGTTCACCTTTTCATCAGCCACTTGAATATTACTGTCCTTCTTTTATACTGGTTTCTTGAGTACTGACTAGGGTTGCTATTGCTTTTTTAAAAGCACTTTGTAGTTTCCACTGCTAGTTCTGAACTTTTAATTTAAAAATGAGTTATGAGATGCAAAAGTTGATTAACTTATACAAGGCAACTCTCAACCCAAACCCCAAAACAGCAGAGGGGTAGTATTTAAACCTGCTACTTAGGACAGCTTGTCCTTGCAGCATGATGCAAGTAATTAGCTTTTTTTTAAACTTCCAGGTTGAACAAGCCTTGAAGAAACATGAACTGCTTGCTGCAATTATTAAGAAAGATCAAGATCACAGCAAGAGACTGGTATGTTCTTTGAAGATTATTTATTACATAATGCAGAGATTTCACATGGAGCTATCTAGAATGCATATTCCCAGATCATAAAGTGGCTTTTTGTCTTATTACAACTTTATGGTTTTTGAGTAGCTGTGGTCTCAAAATGCCACATAATCTGTTTGTTGTCCAGCTACTGGGGTCATGGGAATGGAATATTATTATTATTACACTGCATTGTTGCTCTAAAAGGTAAAACAAATTCTAAAGAAGTGCAAGGAGGTGAAACTTGAGGTTGTGTTGCAGATCCTATGACAGTTCTGACTCCTCAATTCTGTTGTGACATGACTTTGCTACATCAGTGGTGACTAACGCTTCAAACCATAACTGCAAAGCTGGAGTGTGGGGAAGGTCCTTACTAAAGTACCCTAATTAGCAATGATTAACAAAGCTTTGCTTGCAGGAGTATCTGTTAGCACTTTGGTGGTCTGACAGCTGCTGCTCTTCCTTTAGCAAGAAATCAAGCAGCGCATCTACCGCCAGAAATGGGCACAGAACAAGGTGACAGAGAAGCGGCAGCAGGTGGCCCGGGCCAGGAAATACTACGAGGATTACAGGGTCCAGCTCCGGGCCAAGCTGCTGCGGGCGAGGACACGGGAGGAGAAGGTGAGGACAAGGGGCCTTGCTCTGCAAGGGTGGAATTCTTTCCTGTCGGGACCCCAGTGCTGAGGTCTGGTAGTTCAATGCTGCAAGTGCAGTGACCAGAGCACAGAGCCAGGATGAAGTGGTTGATCAGTCAAGGCCACAGATGAAATGGTTCCTTCTCTGGAAATGTGGATCCCAGTGCAGGGCAAACCACTGTGAAACAAGGATGATTTATGGGGCTAAGAGGAGAGAAAGGGTGAAGTATCAGTGTGGAAAAACAGGGCTAGTAACATGAGAAATTGGGGAAATGAGTTTTCAGAAACAGTAGGATTTAGAAGTTGTTCCTATAGTCACCATCCAAAGAAAACAATCTAAATCTTCAGTTAAGGGAACTGATCAAACAGGCAGCTTTGTTATTCAGTTGTGTTTGTTAAACAAAGTGGACTTTGTGACAGATATGATCTAATTAGGGCTGGACATATGAGTGAGGGAAAGCAAGGAGAGTTAGTATGCTCTGCAAGAGCAGATACACTGTTGTCACCTTTCAAAATAAAAAGATTAGAAGTTTACTGCATAATCCACTGTTAGGGATTTGAGAACTGTTTGCCTCAAGCTGTGAGCTACAGCTGGTATGTGTTCTTGTGGAGGAATGGAAAGCCTGAGTCCAGGCTGGATTTCCTGCTGCTGGAAACCTGGATGAAGGTCCTGAAGTCAGACTGCAGAGTACAGGGTGGGTTGTAAATCACAGTGCATGCTCAAAAGCCCTGGCTTGCACAATTGGGTCATCTGACTAAACTGACATGAAAGATTATTTTATCTATCAAAATTTCAGCTAAATGAGTAATGCAAATCCAGCTCAGCTGTATCTGCACCACCATTTCTAGGTACATAATTCTGCTTTTTCATGGGCTATGGCCTATCTTCAAGTAAGCTCCATTCCATCAGGAGACAAAGCAGCTGAGAAATGTAAATGCATACCTACAAGTTCCTGGGAAAGTTTCAGTTTTGCTTTTTTTAATTGCTGGCAGATATTTAAGAACTTATTTGAAGAAGGCTTAGAAATTCAGAAGCAAAGACTGAGGGACCTGAGAGTTTATGCTCAAGAGAAGCGTGATGAGCAACGAAGAGAACACCAGATTGAGCTGGAGTCTCTGGAGAACTACTACAAAGATCAGGTAAAGCTTCATCTGGATCAGGCAGATCATATTTTTCCACTTAGAAGTCTTTCTTTAATTAGTTCAACTCACACGTATGCTATGTTTAGTTTTCCATGCTAGCAGAAGCTATATCTCAAGAATTTCAAGAAATCCAAACCAGAGAGAAAGCACAAGCACAAGTAAGTATTCTTAATTTTTTCCAATTGCCTTTTCTTTTTACATGCTGTGGCTAATGCCAGTATTTTCTTTAGATGCTACAGAAAAGAAGAAGAGAACTGAGATCAAAGATGGAAAAGGAAATACAACAACTGCAAGCAGCAATCATGTACAATGATGATGACACCTTTTTTCAAGAGCTAGAAGCAGACAGACTGAGATCCAGGCTTCAGATGGCTTCTTTCCAGTACAGCCAAAGCCACTTCTTCTAAGACTTGGGTAAATGTCACTGTAGTCCTCCCTGGCTAAGATGATCAGAGTCTGAGAGTTGCTATAATGGGAAGATGGTGTGAGGCTGGTTTTCTCTCTATAATCTCTGTTCTGTCATTTTGACCTGTCAGGGGTGTAGCTGCTGGGCTTTGGGATCTCCACGGCCATTTTATGATTACCAATAAAGTTTCTGAACTACTTTTTACCTTCCTAGTAAGGCTGGGGTAATGTTGGACCCTACCCAGAGGAAGCTGGGATGAAGTGAGTGCTTTAGTGACTTTTCTCTGATGTAACAACTTAATGCTGAGGCTCCTCCCTGTGCTGGGGCTGTTGCTGCTAAGCCAGTCTAACACCATTAGTCAGAAATCATGGATTGGAAAGCTCACAAAGCACAAGAAGATCTTTCAAAGAACATCAGAGATGCAGGTTTCCTGTGAAAGGCCAAGTTAGAGAATGCCTGCAATAAACCTGACACAAATAACTGGGAATTTAAATACATTAAGCAAGGGACAATGACTCCCTCAGTTCTGTTTGGAGTGTTGGTATTGCTGGCTTGATAAAATATAAAGGCATATAAAATACTCTTTCTATGCTATGTGCACTGGGAAAAGTAATTTGAAACAGAAAATAATACAGCTTCTTCTAAAGCTATAGATGATGAGCTTCTGCAACAGGTGATCTCTAGGAAAGAGCTGTGGACAGCATTCTTAATCTTCCAGATGCAGCTAAATTAGGCACTGACAGAACCAGAATTAAAGAATGATTTCACCAGTCAGCTTTTACCTTACTTCAGGTTGTAAGGTCTGCTTCCAGGAGCTGGCAGCAGGCACTGTACCTATTGTAGCGTCTTCCAGTGCAATAAACAGAGCTGTGCCTGGCAGGAAATCCAGGTTTCACCAGCCAAACACTGTGGAGGTGCCAGCGGTGAGGGATGAGGACTTAAACTGAGAACAATTACATAAAACTAAGCTGCTACTAATGAAGTCCATTACTGATACAGTCTCCTCTGCCTAACAAAAGTGCAACTCCTTAAATAGTTTGTCTTGGTAGTAGAAGCGTTCTTGTTTAAAATTGCTGTGTGAGAAGTGATGAAGAAATACAGGATTTAATTGCACTGTATATACAATATTTAAAGGTTGCCAGGAGGGGGTGTCTCTGATGGAACTGACAACACACAGAGAAGTCACACTCATGCACTGAAAAAAGAGCTTAAACAAAAAAAAAGCAGCTCTGAAGGAGCTTCTTTTACAGATTAAACAAAGCAGCCAGCTGTCACAGCATGAGATACCTCACTGCAAAAAGACAGACCCAAAAAAACACACCAAAACCTCTCCACAAAAGCCTGACCTATCCAAAGCTTTTCAAGGAATTTCTGTAATGCTAATTTCAGTGAATTGCTAACTTGAAACCTTTAAGGGACAGTATTTACCAGCTAAGTTGATGAAATTTGGTGAGTCTTTACCAAATTTGCCTTTATTTCCCTCAAGTGTGCTGCTATTGAGAGGAGACATCTGCTCACTAATGCTGAGATAAAATCCTTGCCAAGACATGCCAGTACCTGAGAGCCAGAAGTAAAACCTGCTGTGTTTGACTAGAACATTCAGCACACTCCTCACTGTAGGTAACAGCATGTAGAAAGTCATCAAGTTTCAAGTATTTTTCTCCTGAAACAAAGTTGAGTTACTTAACAATGACATGGTTACATTATAAAGATTTAATTAAGAAAAACTTAAAACTTTTAAAACCATTGATGCTGTGACAGTGCAAACAGCATACAATTTATTGCTCAACTTCTGCATGGGTACATACATTAAGTACTTAAAAACCATTTTATACAGATTTTTTTTTTTTGTTAAAGCTCATGTAACAGCTGGGTGAAAATACAATGATAGCAACGCTAAAACACTCTGTAATAAATACAATGGAAATAATAAACTAAGAACTGTCAGTTTGTGGAGGAGTAATTACACATGTATAAACTAATTACAACTACAGACAAGGTTCTGAGGATGTGTAGAGCCAGGAACCTACTACATAGTGTAAAGTACAACAAATGGCACCTGTTAACTGTGTGGTGTTGTTTAAAAAGATGCTACATTGAGCTGGAGGATGGTGCTGTGACAGAGGAGCAAAGCTTGTACTTCCATCAATGCAGCCTTTTAAACGCACCAGAAGTTCAGTACAGATGTAGTGTTGTAAAACAGGAATTTCAAAACAGCTTGTGTGCTCTGGACTTCAGTACAACACAAAAATTTGGTACAAATAAATCAGTTTAGGGAAACTGAACCTATGTGCAAAAAAAAAATTAGAATACATACTGTACAAAGCACCATTACTAAACTCTTTACACCGAGAAATTAAATCCTCTGAAACTCAACTGTGAACTGTATATTTGAAATCTACAAAAGTCACTGTTCATAATTAAACATTCATAATGAAAAGCAACAGCATAAAACCATGATGTGACATCTCTCTAAAACAACTAAAGACTGGATAAAGTAAAACCCAGTAAGAGGGACACATTGAAATAAATATTCACATTAATCATGGGGTGAAAGTCCAACGTTAAAATGCAATATTAGGCTTAGCACCTTTTTGAGGGGAAAGTAGCTGACATGTTCTTGAAACAAAATTTTGGAAAGGAATCAACCCTTTACCACTTTCAGATAAACATCTGACTGGGTGATGAGGTGCTTTACTTAAAGCTCTCAGTCTTTATGAAGGTAGAAAGGCACTCAAAATACTCGGTATATTCCTCCTCATCTGTCAGCTATGGAAAGTTCAATGCAGATTTGTCTAGTTTTGCCTTTAATATATTAAATTTACAATATCTGTGGCAACTAAAAAAAATTCTCAATGCCATACCAAAATGTTTGGTAGAAAAACAGATGTACTGCTAAGGCTGCTGTGAAAATGAATGTAATTATCAGCTGATCTTGGGTCTCTTTTCTGCAGAGCTCATCTCCTCCCTCCCCAAAGATGCTTTTACGACAGCAAGGTAACCAAAACTATGCATTCAACAAATGCACCAGCCGGATTTTAAATTTGCCATATTCCATGACCAGGGAGGCTGTGGCCACAGCCTGGGCAAGGACAGGGGGATAAAAAAAACAACTAAAAAACCCACTTCTATGAGTTCTATGACACTCATATGTGAACAGTCACACGAACCTGTCTGTAAAACCCCTGCAACAGTCACTCACACCACTCAGACCTGGCAGGGGCTGAGCAGAGGCTTTGGCTGGGGCCGGAGCTGTGGCCCCAGCCACAGGCAGCACTTTGAGTGACAAATTCTGGGCAAGAACCTGCTGTGCTCCCCCAGAGCTGCACAGGCACAGGGCAGCTTCCCATGGTGACAGAGTGACCTGAAGGCCCTGAACTGGGGAGCCCAGCATGGATGCAAAAGTACCAGCCCTTCAACAGGAGTGCAAGAGTCCACTGAAATAAAAAGGCTCTGATGTATTTCAAACCTGGCTGTCCCAGCAAGTCTCTCGGCTTTCTGTTTACATCCCTAACTTGCCTCATCCTGCAGCCAGCCCAGAAAGGGAAGCGAGTCTCTTGGAACAAACCTGCCAGCAACAGCTGTACAAAAAAAATAAACCAACATGTGGATTTGGCTCACCAGATTCTCACCACAATTCTATAAAAGTAGTCCCTTGCCCACTATTCTAACACACAACATCCAGTAGTAGTTTACTCACTGTGGCAGTCAGACTTGGCAGAGCAAAACTTAGTTCAAGCCCCACAGAACAGACAGCAAATGAACTGCTTCACTGTGACTTACACTGCAAACATGGAACAGCTGGTTACATCCCATCCCTTTAGCATTTTCAATACCTTTGACTTTCTTCTCATTGGCAGTGAAAAAATAGTGCAGATTTGATGATTAATTGTAACCTAAGTTACAAAAACACAACACTGATTGGAAAAAACCTGCTACTTATACCAAATATTCTCATGGCTGAGAGGAGAATGGCACTGTCTCTGAAGCAGCCTGATTTATCCACACACCACGAGCAGATCAGACAGATCTCAACTGAGAATTTCCAAACTAACGTCAAAGTTCAGTTCCCTCTACTGGTAGTGCATTTTATTCCCCTTTGAAGAGATCAACCCATGCTATAAATCATATATATACTTACTTCCATCCCTACAATCAATAAATTATGTGCTCTTACAACCTCATTTCCAAAGCACATTACACATATTTCAGTCAATACACCATTTTTCCTTAGTTGTAACTTAAACCCACGTGTCATGAGCAGCTGGACAAAGATTACAACATGTTTTACCTGATAAATCTTTAGCATCAACAAATATAGAATATGATTTGGCTGCATTCAAACAAACTTTGGTTGACTGGACAGGATGGATTCAGGAACAAACTGCTGACAGGCTTCTGCTGGCAAAGCCCATCAGTGCTTCAACAGCTGAAAAATGCAGTGTTTCAATTTAAGGTCAAAAGCAACAAAAAATACTCTTGACAGACTTGTTAGAAAAATGCTGTTTAAAAAAAACAACAAAACATCTACTGTTCATTAAGAAAAGGTTATTCCATGTGTAAACACAAGGACTGTACCAAATACAGTCTGTGTCACTCGCTAGAAATTCTGCTGGAGGAATCTGACAAATTATATAAATAGGACCCCAAAACGTCGTATTCGGAATTCCTGCTTGAAAAATATAAAAAAAGCCCCTGTGGCAGCATTTACCTGGAATTTACATTGCAGAGTATAATGGTTTACTATAAGAAAATGCAGTTAACATGTAAGTGGCTTTCATTAAAAAGATTAATGATTCTTTCAGCCAATTTTATGCAAAGTTAGAATAATCCAAAATATTTTTTTTCCAAAAATAGCAGGTATAGATGCTGTTCAGTATCATACATTTAAAACAGGCTGAAACGTGACTTGTACCGACTGCTGAAGTTGTGTCTTGGTATCTGAGAATAGAAATCAGGTAGGCAAATATAATAGATTACCTCTTACAAAAATAGTAGTAGTCTTTAAGTATAGAATACTGCTTAACTGTTGAAATGTAGGAAAAGTCAGCATTCTGTATGTTCAAGATATTAGTTTTTAATAGCAGCTGAATGATCCTATGGCAGGAACCACAGAACCTATTTTCTTGAAATAAAAAATTTAAAAAATTAAAAAAAAAAAAAAATCCAAAAG